ATGTATGTATGTATGTATGTATGTATGTATATAGATATAAGATATATGTATATAGATTTATGTGAACTTCCGGGCTCCAACTACATTTAGATGAATAATCTACACTATAATGCAATTGGGAGTGCAAAGTTACTGTATAGCTGTGAGCAAGTCGTAGGACGAAGACATTTCGTATTATAGTTATATAGGGAGATATATCCTTTCACCTTGATATAAGATATATGGATATCATCATGTTCATAAAACGTGGACATTTAGTACCATACACTACAAAAGTCAAAAATGCTGAAAAGACCAGTTTTTGTCTGAATTTGAATGAATTTTTACTCGACATTCTTAATTTGTCTGAATAATTTTTAAAAATTCTTGACATAGTATGAATTTGTCTAATAAGGTTCTTGATTTTTCTTGACAAGTGTCTTGACAGTATGAACATTGTCTTAAAATTTCTCGACACTTCCTGTATCATCTGATAAGAGTCTGGATTAGTCTCGACCAATTCTTGACTGTCTTAAATTTGTCTCGTTCTGTCTTGACATATTCTTGACATTCTTAATAATGTCTGAATATGTCTCGACATATTCTTGACATTCTAAATAATGTCTGAATATGTCTCGACACATTCTTGACAGTCTTAACTATGTCTTGACACTATCTCAACAGTATAAATTTCGCCTGAAATGTGAACAGACTTATTCTGCACTGTTTATGACATTCTATTGCTGTTATATACTCCTTTTTATTATGGCTAAACTAAACTTTGAAGAATCAAGGATTAATTTGGTATAGTAAGATACCCTTTTGGTGCAACTAAGTTGGAATACCCTGAATAATCCCCCATGTAGTTTTTTTTTAAATTTTGATTTATTTTTTAATAAACATTTAAATAATTGTTTTCACTTGGAATATAAGTCGAAGGTATTGACAAACAGCATTTAGATTTTTGCCGTTCGCAAAACTGCCAGTCAAATTTGCTTTACTAAAATAGGTGTCATGTATCTCTTTTGGACCCCACAATTCATCTTTTGGGTTTGTGTGGCTAAAAAAGAGGGGGGGTGAGGGGGGGGGGGGGGGGGGGGGAGGGGGGGGGGGGGGGGCTTTCGTTTAGGTCAAAGAATTTGTTCCCATCTTGATTCAAAAATCTTATTCATTTTTTAGAACAACCAAAACATTTTTTATTCAAATTTGAGTGTTGAATTTTATAATTTTTTTATCAAAAATAATTATTTGTGATAACTCCTTCCTAAAAAGAAAAAAATGTTTAGATCTATAAAATGCATGTCTGTTTCAGAACTATTTCATAAGACCGATGATTTCTATAGAAATCATTGATGGGACCCATTATAAATACATTTTTTTTATTATTCCTGGAGTAGATAATAATTTTCTTTTAATCTTTGGGAATTATTCAATTTGTTTTTATGTAAAAATAATTAACTTCATAATTTTGATGAAGAAAATCCATTTCAATTCAATTTTTTTTTTCATCAAAATGATGATTTTCATTTTCATCTATCAACAAACTTTTTAAATTGTAGTGGCATGGTCGGTCAACTGAAAAGTTGTATGGCTGATTACAGGTAAAGCAATAACTTCTATTTGACAGTTGCGTGTACTCTGGGGTGTGGAATACCTTAATTTTATGGGGAACATCCTGTCCATGTGTAATACTTAATATATTCCAACAGATGACATTACACAAATTTTTCTTCTGTTAAATGAATGATTTGTATATAATCATAATTTGCTATTTATATAAACCACATTTTGGTATAATAATTATTCACCATATCAACATTGAATATTATGAATGTAGAATGAAGTATGTTTACAGTATGATTGGTTTGAATCATTTAATTTATAAGATTTAGGAATCAAAATTTGTAATTATTTAAAAACCCACATTGAAATTGTTTCATATCAACACACCCACATTTGAATTATTTTATACTTTAGATTTCATGCCCAACTTTTATTTTTGTTGTAAAGAAGTGTAACTTGAAACAACAGTATATCATATAAAGAGAAATAAAGATTAAAGTTATATCATGAATATTGGTCATGATTTGTAAAACTCAGAACTGTCAAGTAAATTTAAGACACCATTCAAAATGTTCAGAATATGTCAAGCCGTACTGAGAAAAAATAAGAATGTCGAGAATATGTCGGGAAATTTCAAGACAGTATTTAAATGTCAAGAATTTGTCAAGAAATTTTAAGACCATATTCAGAATGTTGAGAATATGTCGAGTAAATTTCATACAAATTTAAAATAAATGAGAATTTGTCAAGAAAAATTAAGACACAAGTCATACTTTTGGAGAATGTCGAGTAAAAATTCATGCAAATGAAGACAAAAACTGGTCTTTTCAGACTTTTAGACTTTTGTAGTTATAAGACTCAGAAAACTAATTGTTAGCAACATAAGTTTGTCTATAGGATACTTAAAAAAAAGTTTTTTTTTATCGTTCTTCAAACTCCTACTGTAAATTATTTGAAATTTTTCGAGGCTGTCTATAAAACACCTTTGCACCCAAATAAACATGCATAATAAGCTACATGTATATTGAACTTTTCAATTGGTAGAACAAAACTGCATGCTTTAATTTTGTCGTGAATACGATATATAATCTTCGACATGTATTTATTTCTTCAATGTTTGAGGTGAATGCTGTAAAGGCTTATACACTTCCAGTATGCTCTGTAGGAAAATGCTGTATCATTTTTCAATGTAGGATTCGTGGAAAAATCCAATATAGTTGACCACTGCAAGTGGAACCCTTATTTATTTAATTTCATTGATTGTTCAATGTTTTACGTTCAGTACCAATCATTTCATTCCTGCTAAGGGTGATCTTAGCTATGACATGTCAAAAAGATTAACAGTTTACAAAATAGTATGCAACAATTCCATTTGAATATAAATTTTACTTAATAACTGATAATAGAATATGATAATATGTTTAAATTAACTATACAGTTAACCTTCTTATTATAAGAAAGTAATACTTTCTTTAGGTCAAATGAAGTGCAAATTAGTTAATTGATTCAAAAATGGCATGCCTTGAAAAAAATAATGTTTGTTAGATAATAAATGATAAAATACATTTATATAAATTTGAATATAGAAACTCATTTTTAAGAACAATAAAATCAGGTATATTGGTTTTGATGTGTTATGGGAAAAGAATTCTGTTGGTCAATAGTGAGGAAAAAAACATTTATATCACATTGACAGCAGTAATACATATTGAACACCTACTTTAAAAACAGTTTCCCATGCTCCGACATATTCAGTTGTTGAAATTGTTTTTCTCATCAGATAAATTCTCGACAAATCTGCTTGCATACTTGTGTCGTTTGTAGATGGCATCTTTTCAAAATCATTTGTCGGAGCCTCTTGTCCATTTGAAAATAGCCAAATCGTAACAGTAGAACAAGACTGTAATTCAAAGACGACTTGAAAACTGGATTATCTGAAACAAATAAAGAAAAGTTGCCATATATATGATATACAAGTTTACAATTTAGGATACTAGAAGTATGTTTTAATGAATACTATGCATTATATACACATTTTTTACACTCCTGTAACAACTATGAAAAGTTGGGTAATCTGTAGTTTATAATATTCATCTTTAAACTACATAAAGTGAAATTAGAGCAGATCACCAATTGAGGACACAGTAGCTACCCAATTGTGAAATTTCGTAAAACACCGAAAGAAGCTAAACCAAGCGCCAAATGCGTCGGCAGCGTAAGCATTTGATGCTATCAATGTATCATTCGTAATGCGAAATCACACTCAGTCAGAATGGCACATTCGAAAATCAGACTAAATTAGTAAAATTACAGACCAGACGACTTTACTGGTATCTGAAGATCCAAGACCGCGAAAAGACGTCGCTGGTATATTGACACACCGACACATCATTACGGTAAACCAATTCCTTATGGTGACCGTAAATCGTATGCAGTTTCGATTCCAGTCGTTTTTCCTCATAATTTTAGTAGAGCAGTTTAAGTGTAAGCCGTAACACCCCTGTTAATGAAAGTTGTTCAAAGTGAGCTACACAATCTTAATATATCAACTGAGATGTGTAAACGCAATATGATGGAACAGAAATAATGTAATTGCTGAGAAATAGGCAGTTGACAATTGAAAAGTTGAATCATCACCATGATCACGTTTGTCATAAATTTTAGTTTGAAGTCATCTATGTTTGTCTATGACGAGGAAAAGATAAAGATATGAATCAAACCTTCTATTTTAGGTAGTATCATTAATTTCAAGTTGTTTAGGATACACTAGATGTAAACACGTGAATGTGGGTTATTAAGTAGCAGAACATTATCATTGTGATTCTCCACAAAGTAAGATTTTTCACGACATCTAAAAAGGAACGTGTATCTACGTTTCCCAGTTTTGAAGAAAAAGCTCTGTTTAATGGGACTATTTAGTCGAACTATCAATGGGGATTACTATAGCAAAGCTTAAAAAAAAGCAAAAAGTTTTGATTTTACTGTAAAGTTCTAAAGATTGCAATTGAAATTTTGGAGCAGTTCTTTCGAACTATTAAGAATCAAAAACAGATTGACACCGTTTTGGTAAAATATACCTGATTTCATTTTTTATGAAGGCCATCTAATACTTTAGAGAGAATGGTGGTCAGAGCTTTTGAAAGACGCATTGACGAACATCTTGACAACCCGACTATAAATCGTTCTTTATAAGGATTTTTGTGAATTTAGCCATCCAATGTAAAGATGGGATATGTTCATTATCCTGTTGTGATTGAAAAATTACTTAGTTACGTATTTTGTTTTCTTCATGAATGGTCATCGACTATTTTACTCGCAATCCTCTTTATAGTTTTACAAGAAGATGTGAACTGTAACTTTTCATTTAGTTGATTACACATTATACCTGATATACAGAGAACATCCTCCCTTTTTTCTCTAGACAATGAAAGTAAAAAACCTGCTGCTGAATCCAAATG